CCCTGCAGCCACCTCAGGCTCGAGGGAGGCCAAGCTGCCGGGCAGGCGGCTGCCAGCAGCCCCGTCCGGACCAGGGCTGCCCGCCTGACCCCGCAGCAGGAGCCGGCGGGAGTCCCTGCATCCCCCGCGGGCAGCGGAGCCGCGGCTGCACTTCATTAGGGGGTTCATATTTCACCCTAATGGCTCCGCTGTCGCCGAGCCATCCATCACCCGCTCGTTTCCCTGCGAGTGCCGCACGGCGCCTGCCGGCACCACCAGCCACGGCCTGCGACGACGCGCCAGTGCCGCGGCCCGGGACCCAGCCCAGCACTGGGCAGGGCCGGCCCCATGCCAGGGCATCCCAGCCCAGGGGCAGGGCCATTCCCCCAAAACGGAGAGAGGCCAGGCAGGGACCCCTGCCCCCTTCCGGGGGAGCCTGCCCGGAGACCCCACCAGGTCCCGCTCCAGGGGGGCTTTTCAGTGTCCCCTGCAGGATAACCCTGGGGCAGGGGAGAGCCGCCTCTGCCTGCCCGGGAGTAGGGGGCATGGGGAGCCAGGCCCTGCCCCGTCGGCACTGGGGGGGGGTGCGCTAGTGACAGGGACGGGGCACAACTCGATGGGGCTGGGCAGGTGGGGGGACTCACCATGCCGATGAAGGCCATCTCCTGCTGCCGCTCCAGAGCCGTGCGCCGGCGCTGCAGGCAGCCCTTCCACACCTGCGGGGTACGAGCGGGGAAGAGCCGTCCCAGGGCACCGCGCCACCCCTGCGCCCAGACCCTCACCCACGAAGGAGGCGCCGTGCCACGCCCAGGTCCCGCTGCACTGCCCGCCGGCACAGGCTGCAGGGCGGTCAGCCTGGCCGCAGCCCCCCGGCACCCGGGGCACAGATCTCACGGACCCGCAGCCCAGAACGGCTGCCAGCACAAGCAAAGGGCGCAAGGGAGGGAGGACAGGGCTGTGCCCAGAGGCGTCGGGCCAGGGAGGACAGGGGCAGCAGGGAGGGGATGGAGCCCTGCACCCCGATGCCCTCCAGTGCCTGGACCTGGCTGAATGGTGGGAAGGGGCCGAGCTGGGGAGGGGGATCCGCTGCCCCCCGCAGCCTGGCGCCCCCGGGGAGCGGAGAGGAGAGGAGGGGGCAGCACCTCCAGGCCAGGGACCTAGCCGAGCCCACCTGGGGCACGGGGTCCTGAGGCCCAGCCCCGGGGCAGGGGCAGCCCCCACCTTCTGGATGCGGATGGCAGCCTTCTTGCGGTCCAGCTCCTTGGTGCCACCGTCCCGCGCCGACCGCTCGCGCGCCTCGTCCCGCCGGATGTCCCCCATGAAGCGGGCCCG